CACGCCTTCTTTATATCTAATAGTCCATTTATTAAATTTTTCATAATTGGTTAAAATACTTAAAATTTTATAAGTAATTTAATTATTAATTTTTCATTAATGATGCATACGTATGTGGTCTTATTAGTTTTAAATCTACTCACTCTTTATTTTCTTTCTCATTTATAAACGGAATCTTGAAGAAACCACCCTCGATGGAGTCATTCATATCAAGTATGTTGCCCATAAATCCCATGTTTAAAAAATAATTACCAGGTGATAATTTATCGTCAAAATTAAACGTGATAACTTCCATTTTACTTAAATAAAAATTCATACTAGCGATATGCTTGGTCCCTTCACGCATATTTTCGATTGTTGCTGTTTTTTTCAATTATATCCAAATATTTTGAGTACAGGGATATCGCTTTTGTTTGTTTATAAGTAATAATGCTGATATTGGATATACGCCGTGGAAGATATTCTTTTCAATGTCCACTTTTAACTTAATGTTATAATGCTTCGGTATTATATCATTCGGCAAGTAATAATTAATTTTGTCTTCAGTGTCAAATATCTCTTCAGGAAAAGAAGCCGACATAGTAATTGTTTTAAGTAGTAATTCTAAAAATTTCATGACAATTTTCTAAACAGGTTTGATGGTGTTTATAGAAATGAGCCTACATTAGAAGAAAAAAATATGGTAGTAAATATTTGATATTTATAAAGAGAGGAAAACAATTTAAAATAATTTTGTAAGACATATTTCGTTACATGTACGATTAAGTTTGTGACGAGAAGTTTTTGAGATTCATACGTTTATAAGACAGCATTAATAGACTTTTGTGCTAATAATTGTAAATCCAAAATTAAACTTTTTAATTTTAAAGTGTGCTGTTTAATATAACTTGCTATATAGTAGCAAGTAATCTAATTGTGCATGTAACTAATCACTGAAATGCAACAAATTTGGCATCTTTGAATGGAATAAGCAAAAAGCAATGGACAAGAATAATGAATGGCTTGTTTATGGAATGTAAAATTTAATTCAATCTCAATACAAATCTGAAAATAAGGTTAACACGTAAATTTTAAGTATTGCCAGATAACACAATGATAAATATAATAATTTATTTTCGAGACCCGATTATTTCAAAATATTTAAGTGTAGCTAATGATTTAATAAAAAACTGTGCTTTTATATTTTGCGCGTTATAATATAGTTATATGAAATTGATTCAAAATATAATACTTATATAATAGAAAGATCTTACAATAATTTGATACTCAGAACTTACAATAATACAGATAAATTTGAAATTAACTGTAATTATAATGCTCACCCGTTACAAATTATCGATACCAGAAGTTTATCTACAGAATCGCGACCTTCCGACTCTAGAGATTATTAACCGAGGACGATGGTAATAAATGTTATAAATATATAATGTCACAAGTTCTAAAGTCGTTAAAGTTGTGTTATTATACATGTGAATATCGTTATATTGTTATTGAAGCTTACCATATATACAATTATATTTTTTAATAAATTAGTATACATATGTATAATAATGTATAATAATGTATAATAATATATAATAAATATATATATATATATATATATATATATATAATATGTAATATATTTAAATTATTTCATAAACGGCAAGAAGATTGTTTTATATAAATAAAGATGTTCTGTAGATAGACTTCTGGTAATTCGTAACTGGTAGATAAGTATTAATGACTGTTAATTTCAAAATTTACCTGTATTATTATTGTACGTTTCGAGTATCGAATTATTTTAAGATTTTTCTAGAATTATATATATTTTGAATTAATCTCATACAACCGTATTTATAATACGCAAAATATAAAAGTTTCTTATTAAACCCTTAACAATGTATAATAAAACTGATAATACCTATAAACATTTTGAAAACATTGTCTCGAAAGAATTATTATATTTATTTTGTTATCCGACCTTGTTTAAATTTGAATATGAATAAAGATATAAATAAAATTGAATATAAATAAATATCTTTCTTATTGTAATAGTTTTTTCATTGTCATTGGATTCATCTCCGATATAGAGTTGAGATAATTAAAATTTTATAAAACTAACAAAAGGAACTATACGGGGTGTTCTTTTCCATTTTTGATGCGTTTTTAATACATTTTGCTCTTAGATAAGGATATAAATTTGTATATATGTGCACAATCACGTGTTTCAAAAATTTCGGAGTCACAGATTGAAACGACGTACAACGTTGATATACATATATGTTTGACGCAAGCGATATATCTATTTAGATGTAATTTATATACATATATGCTTAATTTATAAAATTCATAATACATCCATATACTACATCCATATATGTGTATAAATCATTTCATAACATTGTGAATAAATTTCGTTAAATATAAATAAAGATGTTAAAATAAAAAACTGTTTAATTATCTGATTCTAACATTACAATTGGTTTCAAATACTTAGCGCTTTTTTTTTAAATAATTTCAATTTCATTATATTTGTATGTATATACTAATATACATTTATAAATGTATTTCCAATAAAGACAATATTAATGTTTAATACAAATTATTTTAAAAAATACTATGTTTAAATATATATTATTTCACATTCTATTGTTTTAGAAACGGTTTATTTCATATTAATTTAATTATTGCACAATTGTAAACAGTTTTATATTTCCGATAAACACACGACAGTTTAGTTTCAAGTTTCAATAATAAAAAAAATTAAAAAATTAATTTAATTATATAAAACAATATTTATTTATTCAATAACCATGTTGTAAGCAGGGACAATGTAATCTTATGTAAATAAGGAGTCAATAATATAAAATACTTTATTGCAAGATTGCATATTATTATTGCATATTAGATTGTAGAAAAATATGTAGAAGACATAAATCTTATGGTTAGTAACAATATAACGATATTCGAATTTATCAGATAATAATATGACTTTAACTGCTTGAGACCGCGATTGCATTGTAGCGTGCATCGATTTCGTCGCACGAAAAGGCACTATGCGTGTGTCTTCGTTGCATTATAAGTTCATAACTTCAATACAATGAGATTCGTTGTATGTAATTTTTTTGTGCTTTGCGTTCTAACGTGGGCTTTTCCAAGTATATTTTTCAATCTATAATATTTCAGACGTTTCTCGATCTTTGTTTTTATGTTCTTGTGCGATATAAAAACCCATGTTATAAACACACCACGGCGTGACAAACAACAACAATTGCCAACGACCTGTTAACAATATTTCGTCTTGTGTCGCGGCACGTTGGGGTGACATAGCAGCCGATTGCCAATTGCTCGTATTAATCCGCGCCTCGCACTCAGTTCTTCTTAAGCTCTCGAGACGGAAAGGTCACGATAGTGTAGATAGACGTCTGGCAATTCGTAACTGGTAAGTATTAATCACAGTTAATTTCAAATTTTACCTATATTATTGTAAATTCTGAAGTATCCTTGTTAGATTTGTATTAAACTTGAATTAAATTTTACAGTCTTTCCATAAACGAGTCATTTATTATTCTTCTTTATTACATTTCACTTATTCCATATTAAGATTCCAAATTTGTTGCATTTCGGTGATCAGTTACTTGTTATTGTTATGTTAGACAACACATTTCGAAATTAGAAAATTTTATCTACTGGACTGACAATATAAATGGCATAGAAATCTGTTTCTGATGTCTTACATGTAATTCACACAAATAACTCAATAACTTAATAACTTAATAACAGATTCGTGCAAAATAATAAAAAACAATAACTTTTCGTAATTAACACGGTATTTTGCGAGATGTTATATTTTGAATAAATGTATTGTTCCTACTTGTACTAAATTTTTGTGTAATTTAGAAAACCTTCCGATCTTCCGAAGATTACTCGAATGATACCAACGAAGCAAACATGATTTTAAAAATAAAATTATCTATTTTTTTTAACTACATTAAATACTTATAATACAAACTTGTTATAATTAAAATGAAGGGAGGGTGTTCGGACTGCGGAAACAAAGTAATCAATATCAATACAATACATTCACAGAATAGGTCTTTATTTTATCATAGTTTATTGTATTACGAAATCTTTACAATAAGAGGTGTAACAATTGACCTAAACTGAGGGTCGGAGAAAAGCAATATATAAAGAATAATCTGACGTACATGCTGCGCGCCTAGCCAAAATACAAATTACAGTTATACTTAATTACAAACAGTTGTATAGCATTAAACTGCACGAATCTCAAAAACACCTCGTCATGAACTTAATTGTACATGTAATGGAATATACATACAAAATTGTTATAATATTGTCGTTTCTTTACAAATATTTACTTTAAATTTCACGTTTCTTTTTCTTTTAACTTAGGCTCATTTCTACAAACACCACTGAACCTGTTTAGAAAATTATGGAATTATTCCAATTATTACTATTCAATATAATGTTGATTATGTCATCTGTTTCTGAAAAAACGTTTATCACTGAAGTTCGCGCCGCTTACCGCTTGCCGAATAATACAATACCGAATAATTATAGAATATGGTTAGATGTAGACGTTGAAAGGAATATCTTTTATGGCAAATCCAAAATCAACATAATTATTTACGAACAAACGCATGAGATATCCTTGCACTCAGTACATTTGAACATAATTAAAAGTACAATTGAAAATACTGATATGCGTGAAAGGACCAAACATATTGCAAATAAACATCTTTACTTTGAGAAAATAGAAGTTGTGACTATTGATTTTAACTATATACTAACACCTGGTAATTATACTCTGAATATGGTATACAAGGGTGTCATATCTGATATAAATGACTCCGTCAAAGGTGGTTTCTTCAAGACTCCGTTTATAAATGAAACAGGAGATAGAGAGTGAGTAGATTTAAAACTAACAAGAACATATACACATGCATTATTAAAAGAAAATTAATAATTTAAAAAAAAATTAATAAACTGTTTATATCAAAATGTTGACTATTTTAACCGATTATAAGAAATTTCATAAATATGTTATTAGATATAAAGAATGCGTAAGATATACACTAAAATATTTTAAAAAATTCTAAAGGACATCCTAATAACTTTATTAGGAGATTGAAAATACGCCGCGTATTCGGATTTTTTCGTGACATTTTTATTGACTTATCATCTACAATTATATTATTATTGTATAGATTTTATTTCTTCATGTTTTTAACATAAATATTATATTGTTCAGTATAGTTTTTGTAACACTTTATTTTACAATACAAATAAACGAATGCGTGCATAAGTATGTCTAATGAAAATCGATTAGCAACAAAGTTTCTTTAATCTGAGCTTATATTTGTTTATATTTTTAATTTACGTAATACAAATAAGTAAGTTTCAAATTTAAACTATAGAAAAATCAGACGTTGAAAGATATATGCTATTCATTATATTTATATAAAATTTCAATATTTTAAAAGCAATTGTGAGTTCCATATTTTATGTGTATATATTATAACATTGCATACTATAGAGACATTATTATACATATATTGTAGTATAGTATACTTTAATAGAATAATGTATAAATATAAATTAATAATAAGAAATGCATACAATAATATTATAAAAATATATTATTTTTTAATCGTAACATTGTATGCATTGTTTCGTTGCTCTTATACCACACATTAATACAAACTAATAATTTAACATTATTACAAACATTGTTAAAACTCGTAGATGGTTTGTCTCAACACATAACTGGGCTACTGGAATACGACGAACATTTCCATGTTGGGACGAGCCAGAAATAAAAGCTACATTTAAAATTATCGTATTACAAGTACGAAATTACTATGAAAAGTACACGGTTTTATCCAATACGCATTATAGAAAGAGAGTCCGTGATACTTATGATAGCATTGTAGAAACACATTTTGAAAAAACATCTGAAATACCCACTTATCTCGTAGCTATAGTATTGTGCAATTTCTCCGCCTCTCTACATATGAATATATTTGAGAAATTTGGAGGCAGTCGACCATTTAAAATGAATGTAGACTTGAGATGCAGAGAAAAAATTTTAAATAAATTAATATTTGCAAGTCATGTTATTGCAAACGTTACGCACTACTTTCAAGACGAGTGGAAGCAATTGATTGTGTTTCCAACGCAAGAACATATCGCGGTTCCAGGCTTGATAGATGACGGCATGGCAAAGTGGGGACTCACATTTTACAGGTAAATATGATTATATAATTTTCAACTGCGATTAAACATTCATAACCCATTAAAAGATAGAATTAAACACACTTTTACTCTTTCCAATCAAATAATTCAGAAATTTGTATATTTTTATTGTTAAATTGGTTTCATCATATGATTGTATAATTATGTATAATGACTATATATAGTGATATGTGCATAATTGTGCCGTAAAGTCTGTTCCTAAAAGAAAGCGAAAATATATTTAGTGACTAAAATAAGAAATTTACTAAAATAAATTTAGTACAAAATATACATACGTCGCATTGAGTTGACCAATTACAATATAAAAGGAGTTAAGACCATTAAAAATATTATTTTTCATATTTACTTTCGTATAAATTTTAGAGAAAAGTGCTGATTTTAAGATTCAGTGAAATATCGAGGCTTTGAATGTTGAAGGTGTCAATATCAATATTCATCGATGACATGTATGCCACAATAGACAAGTGGTATAATTGTTTTACAAAATGTGTGACGATAAAAGATTTTAATAGTAATAGAACATTTTTAATAGTTAGATTAGGTTGTTAATTAGTTAGGGTTGTTTTCGTATTATAATTGGTTAATTTATTTTAACAACAATTTCATATACATGCTTTTTTCTTACATGGCAGCAATGATAGTTATATGATAAGTCATAAATTAAGTATTAAAAATATTTTTGATACAATTTGCTAGGAATTGCAAACATTTTGCTAGGAATTGTGGTAGGCTCAAACATAATCATACGACTAAAAGTATAAATTAGGGAATGCTGTATATAAGATTTTAAATATATTTTCTTGTAAAGTTACATATTGAGATTAATGTTTATTTTTTTATAAATTGTGTAAATAAATTTGTATTTTTAAATAAAATTAATCGCCTATCTAACAATTTATTCTGAATTACATTAAGTATAAGTAATATTAAAATGAAAATAATTATGATATAATAAAATTAAAAAAGCGATAAATAAGGCGACAAGATAATACGATAATTATAAATAATTTTCAGAGACAAAGATATTATTTATGATGAGATGAGAGATAATATTGTCCGCAAAATGGAAATAGCGTCTATAATCGGACGTGAAATAGCACGACAATTGTTGAATTCTAAGACAAGTCCATCATGGTGGTCCCACTTCTGGTTAAATGAGGGTATTGCTACGGTTCTTTTTACATCAAAAATCATTGATAAGGTTAATTGCTTATACATCTCTTATATTATTTTACTTAAAAATAAAATGCACTTTTTCAAAATGATATATACTAGGAGAGATTTTAGGAATCCTAGTTCAAGTATTTTCAATGTTATCTACAAAATTGTAAAATACTTACTTTGAAAGTGTTCATATGCATATTTTTGAGCTTAATAAAAAATATCAAAACAACTGCAGTAACAGCGTGCAAATGGATGCTGTTGCATATTGCTAGTCAAAGCATTCATTCAAATTAAATATTCCATGATTACTTTTATCATCATGTAAGCTTTCGTTTATAGATTATTCCAAATTCTCAAATGTCGGATTTGTTTGTTGTCCAAATTCTGCAAGAATCTCTCTATTTAGACGAGCAAGGAATTATGGAATCTCTTACATCGTGGGAACAAAAAGGCAACACAATCTCTGATATTAATTCAATTTTCTCTTTCTCTTATTATATCAAAGGTAATATAAAGAAGTACAAGATGTAAAAAATAAAATTTACAAAATTACAAATTTTTCATTGCTGTTAATAAATTTAGTTAATTACATCTAATTATTTTATAATGTTATTTGTTATAGCACCTGCTATATTGCGCATGTTGCAACATATAGTGGGCGATCAAGTGTTTTGGAATGGTATCGAAAAATATTTAAAAAAACAGTGAGTATATATTTCTATTCTTATTGCTCTATATCGATATTGTCTTCAAGTTTTCCTCAAACTTGTATTAATATATTTTTTTTCTCTTCAAATGTGATTTACTTATCTCTTTCTCTATTTTTTTTCGATATGTCCACAACCCCGAGCTAATTTTTATTTTCTTTCTTGGTTTTATATTAATGATTTTTGATGATTTGTTTGATTAGTTCTTCCTATTATACTTTTTCCTATTTTTACTTAATAATAGTTTTAAGATTTTTTTGCTTTTATTTCTTTTCCCTTATTTTTTACTTTTTTTACGTTTTTTACTAACTTACATTTCATGATTTTCTCTTAATTTCTTTATCATTTTATCTTCGCTGTTATTTCTCTTTATCAATTCTTAGTTTAATTATTTTTTTCAATGTTCAACTTATTTCAAAATATTCTGATAAGTTTTCTCTCTTTAATTAATATCTAATCATAATTTCAATATATTAATGCAATATATGAATGACTCACGTATTTTTTTACTCTTTACATCTTTAAATAAGTATATAATTTTTTAGAATTCATTCTTCAACAGTTATATTAGATTTTATCATATAAATTCTTTCTATCTTTTTTCCTGTAACTTCTTATCTTATCTTTGTTAAAATTATATATACTGACATAAGCTGCTAACATACAGAAATAAATTTAGCAATAAATTTTACTTTTTAATGTAATATGTATTGCATTACATATACCGTATTAACGTGATTAAATTTTGCGAAATTTTTGTTAGATCAGCTACTCCGAGTGATTTCTGGGCTGTTTATGAATCTTCTGATGAAGCATTAAGATTTATAGTACCAAAAATTAACATAACAGAGATAATGTATCCTTGGATAAGTCAAAATCATTATCCTGTTCTAAATGTAGCATGTAATTATAACAATGAAAGCTATTTTGTCATAAGGATGAAAAATGCATCCGAAACATGGCAGATACCCTTGACATTTACTATGCGGTCGTACATCAATTTTTATTATACTTTACCTGTTATAGTTACTCTTAAAAATAAAATTCCTATGCCTATGCTTTCTAAAGATGACTGGATAATATTGAACTTGCAACAAATTGGTAAGTATTAAACGATTATTTTCTTGTATCTTCGCATTTATTTCGTATAAACAAAATGTAGTAAAACAATAAAGAAAAAAATTTAACTCAAATCAAGTATATCAATGTCAAGGTTATTAACTCTCGGTTGTCACACGGCCTTTTTTTCGAACACGTTTGTCACACGAGGTCAATTTTTATGTACATACATGGCACTTTTCTTCTATCTTTTTTTCCGGAAAAGATTTAATGGTCAATAACACAAATTTATTTTCTAACAGGATATTATCGTGTCAACTACGATGCTGAGAATTGGCGAAGAATTGCATGTTACCTCAATTCGGAAAACTATAAGAATATTCATGTTGTTAATCGTGCTCAAATCATCGACGATGCGTTTTATTTTACCATGACGAAACAACTTGATGCCTCTATATTTTGGAAACTCACAAGATACTTATCGCGAGAGACGGAATATGTTGCATGGTATCCTATGATCAAAGTTCTTGAACGCATATCTCACATCTTCCAATTTCCAGATGAAAGTAAATATGTCAAGGTAAAAGATGTTGCTCAGAAAAGTTGTTACATCTAAACATTATATACTTTGTAATGAAATAACAATTGTGACATAATTGATTCAATAAAATATCCCAGTAAGCAAAATACAGCATGCGGCAGCAAAGATTAGAATCTCACACCAATACCACAGCCATCTATATTTTCTATGATTATTTCGGCTCTGCTCAGAATGTGTCTGCGCAGATTTAGTTATCTGAGATGATACATGTAGAGTCCTAGCTAGATATATATGCAGCTATAATTCTGTTACGTTTTTTCATAATTTTGTTCAACAAAAATTTAAACGTAAAAGACCCTCATATCGTCGGTATTATCACCATAAAACTACCTTTTAAAAAAAATGAAAAAAAACGTCAAGTGTTTATTGTTTATATGTTATTACAAAACTAATGCAAAGCTATAAAAGTTTTTAAATATTACAATACCAAACTATTTTTATCCTAAAGTGTATCTAAACGCGTTATATACGTATAATTTTTATGTATTACAAAATAAAATTACAATGTCTTAAAAACAGTATGTCGTTTTGGGCACAAGTCCCCTATATAATGATAAAAAAAATCTAAAAATTTTCTAATTATGTTGCATTTATTTTTTTAAAAAAGTATTTTTAAGTGCACGTATATATTCGCACGACCCATAACTTTTTCAGACATAATTAACAACTTAATTAAAAATATTTATAATTTTACAATATTTAGACGATCATACTCGGACAATTGAAACCGCTTCTTCAAACAATAAAATATAACGAAGATCGAAATGACAGTTATTTAATGGAATGTTTAAGACAAGAAGCTGTAAAATGGGCATGCGTTCTCAATGATTCTAGCTGCAAGACAATAGCCTTGAATAAACTACGACAGCACTTCACAGACATGTAATTTACGCTTAAATAGAGTATTTTATAAAAATATTTAAAATATACGTGTAAGATTCTAAACTAAATTTTATAACTTGTCTCTTTAGACCTCATCAATTCTCGTCAGGGTGGAAAAAATGGACATATTGTAATGGTTTATCGATAGCAGATAAAACTGTTTTAATGAAAGTGCATCGAATGTATATGATTGAAACTATACTATTCCGAAACGAACGAAAAAATTTAGAACTCCTGGCTTGTTCTAAACATTTTTACATAAATTCCATCATCATGAAATCAGAAGATTATGAAGAATATTATTTTAGAACTATAAGAGAAAATCGCATTGATAATATTAAATTTTTTCATTACAATGTTGCGAAACACGCAAGAGATAACTTAGTACTTAATCATATATTAAGAAATTGGGAAAGAGCCAAACCCAAGTAAATTATTTTCTTCCATATAAATATATTCTAGTTGTAATCATGAATATCTTATATGTATGCGAATTAATAAAAATCGTTTGTTTTGTTTTTGCAGAGACATTAGTGTGACTACAGCATTAATTGATATTATAAACCACGTGTATTCTAAGGAACAACTTGACAGGGTAATATTTACAAGCATTATGGCTCACATGTTATCTTTCTATTTCATCAATCTTATAAGATTTTTGTATATTTTTAGCGTAATCAATCTAATTGTAGTAAAAGAATAATTTCATACAAAATAACTGAAATATATAGTAGCAATTAAATATATTCTATATAAGATTAAAGTAATTTATTGATAGGAAATAGTATATAAAATAATCTGTATGTTTTAGATAAAGAAATTTTTGCTGATGTATGTACAGAGGTGGTTAATGTTAGAATTCAAATTTACTACTAATCTTAAATACCTTAACTCAAAATTATTTAGCAAGGTAAGAATTTATACATAAAGGTAAAAATGCAAAATTGAGGTTTTGGGATCTGTTAGGGAAACAAATAAATCTTACTTATTCTTACATATTTCTTAAAATTTAAAAATAGCTATAAAAATTACAGTTGTGACGAAAGAAACGTAGAAAATGGAGGAACATGGGGAAATAAACGTAAAATCGTTAAAACCTTACGATGGAATTTTTAATTAATTTTTAATTAATTTTTAACTAATTTTTTTTACGTTTTTTTAGATATTTTAGGTCACAGAATCTTGAGCTAGCAATCTAGGGGTACTCAACATATAAAGGTCTTAAATATCTGGAAACAATCAAATATCTTATAAATAATAAATTTTAGAAAAAAATGTTTTATACAGAAGTCGTAAGGTTTAAAAAGACGCATTTAATGGCAGTTATAGTCCATAAATGACGTTGCCAAAGTCAGATCAAGACCAACTTTATTTTATCAAATAAAAACCCCTATTTTTTATTGTATTATCTCTTTCTACTCATTGATTTAAACAACTTTTGTTTAAAACATTTTTTTTAAATCTATTATTTACAAGATATTTGATTGCTTCCAGACTCTTTTAGGACACCCTTTATATATTGAGTACCCCCAGACAGCTGGCTAAAGATTCTGTGACTGAAAATACGCAAGAAAACGTAAAAAAATTAGTTAAAAATTAATTAAAAACCCTGTTCGGGATTTTAATAATTTTACGTTTTTTCCCATTTTACTCCATTTTTCTTCTACAGGCTTAAATTTCATAGCCATTCTACGGTTCAAAATATGCGGCTAAGAATACGTATTATTTTCTTTAAATATAAGTTTTCAGAACCTCAATTTTGCATACCTTCCTTTGAAGATATTATCACAATTACAAAAAAATGTATTATCAACATTTATTATTAAACATGTGCTACTCTATACGTCACTTGATTACAAACGGCATAATATGACATGCATATAATTTTCAACACAATAATCTCGTATTTTCCATGCAACATAATCATTAATTAAAATTGATCAATTTACGAAGTCACGAGCAAAAACAAATATGTGGTCGTATATGCATATATGTTGTATGTACATAATACATTTTGTAGCTGCATCGAATGTGCGAAAATATTATAAATATTGTTTTTAAGTACCAAAATTATTTATTTGTTAACAACAAGTGGAATAAATTATAAATTTATTTGTAACATATTAAAATTATTTTATAGATTTTTGAATGTGCAAGAGACGAAGTAAATAAACTAATTTTGGATATTATCAAAAAGATTAAGTTACGTTTGTCTCAAATCAAGAATCAGAGAAACACTTTGGTTTCCATGTTTGGAATCAGTTCAGCCGGCCAAAAAATGGAAAACTGCAATGCTTGAAGTAAAACAAATGCATTATAGATTTTTGAAAAAATTGTCAGACATTTTCTTTTTTTATGTTACTCTAGTATTTATTTAGATTTATATATTGCTTATCTATTGTCCATTATATATGAGTTTTATAGTTATTTCTGTGACTACATAGAATATCTTAAATATTATTATAAGAGTCTCTCTCTCACTAGTTATTTTAATATATATACATTTACATACGTATATGTTAATATATATGTATGCATATGTATATAAATATAATTTATTATTTTAATAACTTCCACAAATACATATAATATATTGGTAATAATTACTAATATTAATAAGAATACAAATATTAGTATGTTACTTATATTTATAATATAATATGTTAATATTACTATATATTTTAGTAATTAATAATATATGGTTATTAATATACATATAATTAATATAATAAATATTTAATTATTATATTAATAGCTTTAAGATAATGTTGATAAGATATTAACAATATGTATTAACATGTTATATTATTTTATATATGTATTTAATTTAAAATATTAAATATCTATTTTAATATTTTAAATTTTATAATAATATTTATAATGTATTATTTAAACTAAATTGCATTGTTTTATGTCAAAAATTTAATTTTTCATATTAAGTTTACTTTCTCTTTTTATTGATATGTAATTTAGGTATAAGTATATTAATTTTTGGCATTTTTAATGTTCGACAGTGTAAAGTGTTTATTTCTGATTTACACAATAAAGATTTTATTCTCTTATACTATATATACTGCCTCTTTCTTATTGTAATACCTTTTTTATTGTCTGATTCATCTCTGATATAAAGATGAATCAAAATTTTATAAACCTAACGAGAAACTATACGCGGGATTGTCCTTCTCCGTTTTTTATGCGTTTTTAATATATTTTGCTCTAGATTAAAATAAAGGATATATATTTTTTTTTTTTTTTTCCCAATCACACATATTTCGAAAATTTAAGTTATCTAACTTAGTACTTGATCATATATTAGCATAGAGATATAAGAATAGAGTGCGCGAGTTATATGCTAGCACGTAAGAGGCTGTGATATAGGAATAGAAAAAGAACGCTGCATATAGGCCCTTTCTGTCTTTGTCTACGCGTGCCTGCGAAACAAAGACAGAAGGGGCCCATGCGCAGCTTTCTCTTTTTATTCTGCGCAGCTTTCTCTTTCTATTCCTATATCGCTTTTTCAGCTCGCTCGCGCACTCTATTCTTATATCTCTATGTATATTAGAAAATTGGGAGAGAGCAAAACCCAAGTAAATTATTTTTTTCCGTATAAATATATTCTGATGGTTGTAATCATGAAAGTATATCATATATGTATACAAATTAAGAATCATTTGTTTTATTTTTACAGAGAAATTAGTACGACTATAGTCACTATAGCATTAATTGATATTATAAACCACGTCTATTCTAAGGAACAACTTGATGAGGTAATATTTACAAACGTTATTGCAACTTACATGTTATCTTTCGATTTTATTAAGCTTACATATTTTTGTGCATTCTCAGCATAATCTATTTATTGTGACAGAATAAGTTTGTAAAAAATAATTAAAAAAAACTACTGCAACGAGTGTATATTCTATATGAGATTAGTATTATTTTATAGATATATTGAATAGTAAAATAATCTGTGTATGTTTTAGATACCGGAATTTGTAAGGAATATGAAAATTGAATCACTGTTAGAACTTACTGTTTCTTCTAATCAGTCCAATAACTAAAAATTATTTAGCAAAATAAAAATTTATACAGGGTGCATCAGACCACCCGTTCCACCCGATTTTCTCGTAAATGTTTAGCCTCATATTCTACCCGAGGAATCGAATAAGGGTATTTTCGTTTTTCGGAACTGACCGGAGTAATGACTACTGCGGTCAACTCTAACATTTTTAATGGAAACATATGTCGTGTAGTGTATCGTTGAATAGCTCTTAAAAAAAGGAACACCTTTTTTATTGTTACATAATCACGACATCTCCAACCGTTGAAGAGAAACAACTGGAAAACTGAATGGTGGATGGTATCGTAATTCGTATAATAATAATAAAGTTTCGTATCCGAAACGATAAATATTACTTTTATTAAGCCTTACAAATGTACAATATGTCTTCCATCATAATTTAAACAAAAACGGATTCTGTCTTTGATTGTTCGACAAGCATGCCGATCGCTAAACGTGATGCAAAAGTCCTTCGAGCTACAGATAACATCAGAAACAGAATCCGTTTTTATTTAAATCAAGACGGAAAGTACATTTGTGAGGTTTAATATAAGTAATATTTTTCATTTCGGATACGAAACTTTGTTATTATTGCGACACCATCATCATTCAGTTTTCCAGTCGTTTCTCTACAACGGTTGGAGATATCGCGATGTTCCAATAAAAAAGATGTTTCTTTTTTTTTTAAGATCTATCCAACGATACTCTGCACGACATATGTTTCGATTCAAAATTTTAAAGTTGAGCGCAGTAACCACTACTTATATGTACATACATATATGTTTATATGCGTGCGTATGTATATAAATATATCTTATTATTTAATGTAATAACTTCTACAAATACATATATTGCTACATATATATATAATAAAATTGGAAATAATTATTAATACTTAGCAAAATTATTAATACAATTAATAAATATAAAAATAATAATTGGTTTTTTATATTACTAATGTATTATGTTAATACATATTATTATATATTTTAGTCAATAATAATATACAATGATTGATATATAAATGTATGATTATTATATTAATAGCCATAATGATAATATTAATAAAAAATTAATAATATATATTAACACATTATGTTATCCAATACTTGCTCCACAATTGCACACTTCTTCACACCATTTATTCCAGAGACGAAGTTCTGTCTGCAGAGAGACATTCAGTAGAGTTTTGCGTACAAACGGCGATCGCCTCTGACGTTGGGGTCTTAATTGGTACTCGTCTTATCCATCACCATTTCCGTCTTCTTGTCAGGCGATTCATCTACTGCTTTTTCCGACGCGGTATCCTGTAAAATTGTGCGCGTATCAGTTTCAGTCAGTTGCGACAAAAATATTTCTCTTTTAGCCGGGCCGTGAAAAGAATTCCAAGAGTTTTATCGTATACGTACCGCTGGAGGTACATGTTGTTTCTTCTTGAAATAAAGGAACGTTACGGCACCGATTAAGCATCCGATAGTTATCATAATTTTGCCTATACTTAGCATCACGATTGAAAATGCTAGTAACATACTTAAATTTGATGCCATCTCCTCGTTAACTTCTACCTTCAACTCGGACCAAAATATCGGGATGTAGATCTTAGGCACATTGTTAAACATCCTGCGCAAACATGTTTTTCCTTTTATTTGTGCAATTAATTGTAGATAAGATCATTGTAAAGATATGAAGCTACGTATTTTTTTTTGTAGTTTAACAAGTTTTTGAAATCTTTCATGTACTTACGTCACAATCTCCGATGGCTGGATAAGGACATTAATTTGGAATCTAGCCGATACATCTAGAGGAATTCCCGTCGTCTGAAATATCGAGAGTACTTTGTAAGCAAACACCTATATTTGTCAAGTGCCTAAGCGCTATAATGTGTAACACGAAGCTACGCGAATAAACGCAACGCGATTGCTTTCTCAATAGTATTATCGCGTATTATCGCGGGCAATGCCACATCCTCCGTGCTCGATAGACCAGATGAAAGGCGATAGTAAAATTAGTATCTCGGCAGCAACAAACGGGGTTAACTGACTCCCGCCGTTATTTCTGTCGCGACGAATTTTATCGTTTGCGCTCCAGATATGATTCGCTAGATCGGCACTCACGGGTTCGAGGGTGATGGAGAAGCTGTGATCCTTCTCGTTGGGCTTGAGTCCCTCGACTTGGTCGAGAAGCACGGGATCAGCCTTGTAGAAATGAGGTAGACTTATGAAGACCGGCGCACCGAAACGACACGCGGACACGTTTATTAAACCCAACGGCGTACAATCGCCACCGCAGAAACAATGACCCAAGTTAATGACATCCGGATCGTCGTCCGAGTACTCGTCCGAGCTCTTTTCGGACGAGCGACCGTTGTCGGAAGCCACGCTTTCGGTGGTCGTGCTGAATCCCATCTCGGACAAATGCTCCGCTGCGCAGACGTTCTCGGTTGTCGTGGTCGGCTCGAAAAATTTCGCCTGCTCGTGAGGATAACGTCGTCTCGTGTTGTTACCGAGAGTCTTCTTATCGATGATATATCGATAACCCTCGATGCCGAAATGAGAAACCGTTCCCTCGTATTCATAGATTAATGGACTAGAATAATATAAAAAAAAGAACCAGAAATAAGATCAAGAGTGCAGATGATAAACTTTGTACCACTGCTAGAAAAATTATTAGAATAATATTATAACAGAAAGTTGATGATATGTATGTGGCACTAAATGGATTATTATGCCGTTTCTGACGCCGTGGCGATTTAAAAATATTTAAACACAACTAATATATGTAATGTGTCTCGTGAAATTCTGTAATTCTGTTTATTAGACAGAACAATATGCTATCTAAAATCTGATTATGATATTATTTACACGGCGATGAAAGTAGTCAAAGTAGAACTAGATTGCTATCTAAAAGTAAAATCTTGATCTCTCATTGAATACCGTTTGATTCGTTATTCGTGAGCGCGTAAATAGACGAAAGCGCATCATAATTTATTCTATTCTGTAAACTTAATAGTATTTTTGGACTAACCGGCATACGTCTACGCTGAACAAAGTAATCTCATCTTTTGTTCTGCCGGGTGGCCAAAATTCTCCCGCGCTGCCTTCAATAATGTTACAAGGACTCTTGTAGAATTTCAACGTATCTCTATAGTTCCACTTTCTCAAGATTCCCAACTGGCTGATGTCATTCTCACCCGTTTCCACATTTAAGTGCCCGTCCATGTCGTAGCTGCCGTTCCTCTACATAATCAAAATGACAATAAATTATAATAGTGCACTTCTTTTCGATTATTTTCTAGCGATTTTAACCTTTTAATAATTATTGTATATCAGAACATGTTTATGTATTGTATCGCGGATTGATAACTTCTTGTCAACGAAAAGTTATGCATTTGTCTGTTTTTCTTTAATATTTTTTATTAGCATCGATAAAGCAGCGAATTAATTTATTTCCCATGTAAGCGACGTGTGTTATCATTATCTCTACGAGAGCCAGTTATTTCAACAATGTAGTCGTAGCTCCACTTTTAAAGTGTTTAGAGATACGCCCTTTCGTATTAATCTACTATAATTTTTGCAGAGCAGTAACATCGGTATAATACATAGGTGTAATGTATCTTCGAAATTAAATGCTTATACGCACAATAATTATACAAACGCATACATTACGATGTTTTTTTTTACCTTGCTGACGGCTAAAAATAAATTGCTAAGGATAAGAAAAGGGGTATTCTGTCTTATTATAAAACGTACCATGTAAAACCAGCCGAAACGATCGAAAGGCGGAACATCATTCACCGGCCCAACTTTGCTCATGGTGAGCAGGTTGTCACTGTAGCCTGCAAACAGCAGTTCATTTACTGTTTTACTAGTGTAATGCCGTCGTCTGATACTCCTCAAGAGGAAGGACACTGCTTTCTGCGAATCGACATTCCAGTATCGAATTGCGTACACTCCTGACTGCAAGAAAAAAATAATATATATATAATATCGAGTATATCTTTATATCTTCCTGAATCGATCGTGTTTCTATTTTTAAATCAGGACGGAATTTAAAAAAAGCAAGAAACATTTGGATACATCTTTACGGTTATTCCTTGATTACGATAAACTTGATGCCCTCTAATATACGTGATTATTTTTTCACCTCTTTTATCGCCTCTATAATTGATATTGAGAATTCAATTTATTGTACTAAGCACGCGACAAAAGATGCAATAAAGCAGCTTACCGCAACGACGACATCCAAATTGGTAATAATGTCGCTAAGACTCCCATTGCTCTGCTTCTCATCGAAGTACCATAATCGTCGTTGCCTATAGCTGACAGTGTTGTTCTCATGATTAAACTTGATGGAGTCCTTTTTCCTTACTTCCCTGCAATTCATAAATGCATTAACGATTTCTTCCGTCTTTATTTAGTCTTGCGCAGTCTAAATCTCTTTTCTAGTTGCCGAGCCTTATTCGTAAATGAATTAGAAGATAACGTTAATGAAATACAAATTGAGTGTAAGCGTCCAGTAATCCTCTTTATATGAAGAGGTAAAAGCCACAGTGGTGTAAGTGGAATTTATTTAAAATATTTACTTGCATGAATAGATGCAAGTTATATTGTATAGATTGCATCTATGCACGAGTCAATATCTTAAAATAAAATTTGACTTTGTAAGTTAAACAATATATGCATTTTCGACATCACTTTAATTGATACATATTTCATTGGTACGTGTCGCGAATTCTGAAGTCGTTTGTTCAACCGCGGCTTAGACATCTGACTTACATATTTTCAGAGCAATTGCCACGCAACAGGACGTACGCATGTAATGATGATGACCATACCTAATGCTCTCTTATTGTCAAAGGTGCAATCTTTATATTACCGATACAAGATTAGAGACGGAAGCCGGATTGTAAAACAAGAATTTGAAAGGGGATAATTCTGTTTTATTCTGTTCTTTTTTTAATGTTATACGCTTTAAAAAAAATTAGTGAAATTTAATTAACGACCGTTGTTCCAAAGATTACGTACATGATTTTATATTTTGCTGACCGCACATAATTCTCTTTATTAATCGACGAAAATTGCATAAATTTAAAGTTTTAATTATATGTTTAACATTTGATCCAATTGTGATTGCCACTTTTTTTATTACAGTATCTGTTTTAATTTATTGCTGTTATTGAAGAAACAGTTTACAGGAATTATCGCAGTCACATTATCTTTTAATACTCAGCTTTTCTTCATTTTTTCATAAACGGCACATGAGGTATAATCTTGCGAAATGCAAATTACCGATGATACTTGATACCTCGGATCATTTCCATCATGCAAGTTGGTGTTTCGCGCGCTAACCGGTTTTATAGGCCAGTCATATTAGACTAATTTAAGGGGTTACCTTCCAATTAATCTTCCCAGGTTGCAACCACCATGAATCGCTTTGATTTGAGGTGCTATAAATGGGATTTATTTTGCTTCGCAAAATTATCGCACGATAAAAAGTTATTAACAATATTATCAACAAAAAACGCGATTTTTTTTATTTTTTCTCAAATATCTCAAAAACTAAGCAAGATAAGGTAACTAACTATAACTAAGATAAGGTAACGTACCTTTTTTGTAGAGCGTAAAATTATCCACAATAATATCAACATTTATCGTCAAGTCAGTCGTTTAGCTTGCACGCGCCGTCAAAGTCCGAGACTCGGATCCCGAAAACCCTCGATTTCATCGTTTTTTTTATGTTGCACCGGTGATTTTTTTCCGTCATTTAAAATAAAATTAAAAATCACACATCATCTGAGAACTACAAAGAATACTTTTCATGGTGTAACCGATTTTTTAGACCCTTTTTCTTTAGTTTGTAGCTATGTAAGCAAAAAATTTTGATTTTTTAGAATAGTCTTAGTTTATCGCTGTTTTCAGGCCTTAGAATTTATTTGAGACAAATTTTATCGTATGCATCTTGTTGTGGACAAAATTTGCAACAAAAAAGAACTCTTGTATTTTTTTCGTACGATAAACGCTGATTTTTTTATTGACGTGCAAAGTTATCCAATATTGCGCACAGGTCGGATAATTAACGTTTGTTTTACACTAAAATAATTATTTTTTATTAAAACTTACGTGTTTTTTTGCATTATTATTGAACCATATTGCAAAGCCGTTTTTTGCCAATAAAAGCCATGAGGTACGAGAAAAGAGGCAGAGAAAAAAAAGACGGAAGTTTAGTAAAGGCATGTTGGGATGAAAAGGACATAATGGATAAAATAAAAAAGGATTTATATAACTTGGAACGAGAAAAATTTTATAATAACAATGGTTGGAGCTCTGAAGTAATAAAAGAATTAAATAATGAAGGTAAAAATACTGAAGGCTTAGTAAGAATAAAGGAACAGGACATTCAAGGGCAAGTAATAAACAGTAAAATAGCAGAGGCAAAGTATAATACAAGGTACAAAGAGATAGAGACGAGAAACAAAACACCTAATTATTTATTAAAAGCAAATTTGGATAAAGTAAAAACAGGACCCGAGCAGAAATTAGATTAGGCACGCCCGATGTATGGTTAGCGCCTGATCGGGAAACAGTAAGGTATGCCCTAATAAGAAATTCCTGACATGTGCCTGATCCGGTGCGCAACGGGACGCTCTTTTCAAACATTTTTCAGGTTATTGTTATACGGGCCTGATTTTCTTGTCCCCATCATTTCCCTCATAGGGTTTGATAAATGTTAGCCTGAATATATGTTAACCTGCAATTTCGTAAATCTGCATCTGTTATCGAAGTGGTGGCAAAGTATATTAAACATCTAGTAAATAAAGTGAATATTAATTAGTGTTTATTATGAATAGAAATTGTGATAAAAAGCGTTTTTTGACACGAATTCGCGTGAGAAGATTTCGATCATAGTTTGTACATCAACAATTATTAGGGCTAACCGGATGAGGTCCCGATCATTATTTATCAGGGATGCTATAAGAAAGATTTTCTTAATTTTGTCTAATGAGGCTCTTGTGTAAGGATTTGATACGAATGTTTTAACTATATAAATATACTTTTTTCATAAATATATTTACGAACACAAAATTTCGTAATGAGCCGACACTGGTTTCTGACATTTACCCGACATTAAGGAATATTATATCATATATCCAATTCAAAATTTTATTACTCTTTTTAAACTGAATTTGTTTCTTAAGATAATTTTTGAAAAATTATATATTTGCGCTGGTTATGACATATGTAGACTATATAACACTTACTACATTAAATTAAGAAGTAGTCTACCACGTAAGGCAGTTGGCTCACGATCCAGAGGTCCCGAGTTCGAATCCCACCAGGTAAGTGTTTTTTTCAAATACGAGAAAATATTTATAATCATAGACTGCATCTTAAGAAACAAATTTAGTTAAAAAATAGTAATAATATTTTTTTTGCCTGATAAGGAAAACATGATCAGGTAATTTTAATTCTCAACGTTACATTTACGATCGGGGCCTAACAAGGACTACCTGATGAGCTCCTAATCAGGCGTTAGGGCATGCTTATTAGGTCCCCATTAGGGCCTATCCAAAATTTCTGCTCGGGGAGATGAGATTAGAGCGATGGTAAAATTAAGGTGCGGCAATTTAGAGGACACAAATATAAATATTGGCTGGACGAAAAAGATACGAAGTGTAGATTCTGCAAGACAGGTAGGGACAACTTAGAGCATTAATGCGAGTGCAATATCACAAGTATGATATTGCACTCGCATATATATGTGGTTTGAGAATCTAGGTAGGAATAACAAAGAGATATTAGTGAACATATGCGATGACAAATTTAGAATGGAAAAAAGAAAGGTGTTAAATAGATTATGGAAAAGGAAAGAGGAATGCTATAAAAAAGATAGGATAAAGGAAAAGAAAAAAGAGGAAGAGATAAGTTAGAAAGGAGCGTGAGTAGGGACAGTAATGGAAACAGCTTGGAAATGCTTAGTTTTTGAAAGAAAAGGGATGGGCCGGTGGTCTCAGACACCCTGTATATATAATCTGGATAAAGACAAAAAGTAGCGGTTAAATATGATCAAAAATATCACGCAATAGTATAAAATATTATTATAAAAGGTAAATAAATACGATGAATACAAAAATAAAAAAAAAATATCGAGCAAACAACACAAAGAAGACGTGGCAACACCTCACTGTTGATATTACTTTTAACTATTGGCTACTCTGAACGCCCGACCGGTAGTACCCTTTATATGATTGACATACTGAGAAAAGGGATTAGGTTAGTATTGAGGTTAAAAAATCTTGAAATGTAATAAAAACCCACTTTTAAGGTATAAAGGCAAATGAAATATCAGAGGCCGTATGTATATAAACATCGGCTGTAAATATCGGAAACCGGCAGCAAAAATGTGAAAAACATGTATAGTTACTGAGCTCGCAGTGCGACGTTTTTAGGATCAAACGTTAAGATCTGTGAGTGCTGCAGTTTTTATTTCTTTTCTCAGAAACTAGTCAGTGAATCATCATGAAATTTATTGAGAATCTGTGCCAATGTATATCCTCTATACACCGTAATTTTTTTAAGAATTGTTCTCTAATTTTTCTTTATATTCTGAATGCATATATTTGATAATCTACTGTCAATCTCCATAAAAATTCATACGAAATTAAAAAATTAATAACTTTGAAACGGGTCAGACAATCGATCGCAAATTTAACACAGGTTTTTGAGATATATAAGGTAAAGGTACCAATACCCGAACATGTACCTATATCCGAACACCTTTATTATTTATAAGTATAACGCGAATTAAAATCAAAGATAAAAGTATTTTTTTTCTTGTAATTTGAAACTTCAGTTATAATATCCAAGCGTTTATTTTCATAAATTTATATTTTTTTAAAGGTATCCAGATACAGATACGTGTCCAGGTATTGGTACATTTCCTATGCCTAAGTGTCCGGCAATCTTTGTAAATTTCACCTTCGTCCCTCTATTTTGACTTAAGCGATATACATCTATACTATTATCTATACTATTATATAAAATCCTTACGGGTGGTGTATGTTTGAACGTTAATAACGTGAAAACTATTGGACCGAATTTTTACCACAAGTACATGAAATAGGGCTAGAATTTTCCGGGGAGTGCTATAGAGTGTGTAGTTTTTCGTTACCGATTTTCTGAAAACCGATTTTTTTAATTTTTCTAATTCTTACGGGTAAAAGAATTAAAAAAATCGGTTTTCAGAAAATAGATAACGAAAAACTATACACTCTATAGCACTCCCCGGAAAATTCTACCCCTATTTTATATAGTTTTAATACAAATTCGGTCCAATAGTTTTTAAGTTAAAAACGTTCAAACATACACCACACTTGTAAGAATTAAAAAGAATTTTTAATTCTTACAAGTGTGGTGTATGTTTGAACGTTTTTTCATCCTTAATAACTTTTTATTGCGCGTTAATTTTGCGAAGCAAAATAAATCCCACTTATAGCACTTCAAATCAAAGCGATTCATGATGGTTGCAACCTGGGAAGATTAATTGGAAGATTCAATGTCTAATATGACTGGCCTAATAGTATATTGAGGTAAACCAGTCGAACGAAGGTCATGATACAAGCGAAGCGGCACTTGTCGAAGAGTCGCATGAAAGGCATTGTGTTATCACTGTCGAGAAGAAAGTAATTAATTAATCAATTACTTCATACATGTTCGCCTACGCGTCGCATCGCGTGATTGGACCGGTATTTTTTTGTTCATTAAGATGTCAATATAACGAGGTTAACTATTTCTTCCTCATTGTCATTATATTGGATTCGTTATTGCACTGTAATTTTGTAGTCTGATTAAAAAATCTAATTTTTAATACATGCGTCACATTTCGATGCATTTTTTTTTACTTGCGGATACTTTTTTTACTATTAATAACACTGATCAACATACCAGTTATAATATAATTAGGGTGTTTTTTTTTTATCAATTCCAACTTTACTGATTGCGCTTTTTATGTGAATGTCATTTCGATTTCAACAGTAATTGCAGCTTGTAATTTTGCAATATTGTCAAGATCACAAATTACGTAATTATTGTGTAATTTTTTGAACACGATTATGATTTACATAATAAATATTTGGAAAAATGTTGTTAAAAATTCAGCTGTTTGTTTAACAATCATTTGTTTCACTTGTTGCTTTTTCAGCTTCAGGAAGATATGCAATTTATAAAATATTAATTTTGCAACGCAGTGTTATAAGCAAAATTAATCTAATTAAGATGCATTAACAGAACAATATTAATTACTATACACAATTGTAATTTCATCTTATCTGGAGTGGCATGTCGATCGCATGATCTCGTAATATATTTCCGCGGTCATTGGCTCGTAATATTCCTAAATAATATCTAAATATATTGATCTTCTTTTGAACGAATTAACACATACAAGTGAAAGTTAACAGTGGAATCTTGCTCGAGGAATTAAATTTGGCCTTGTCGATGTATAAAGAAATGCACTCTTATTTTTCGTTCTTTTTTTGGTGACTGCGATTTTATAAATTGAGGGCTATAATCAAAATCGTTCATTCGGGTGAAGGTTACTTACTTAAAGTAGTAAGGACCAACTTGAGTGAATTGCGGTTTCTTTAGGTTTAATTCCTCCGGATTGGTCCAGTTAAAGAAATATATTTTCATAAATCTTGGCGGTATGTTGCTGGTGTCCTTCCATACCTGGAAACTCTTAGAAGTCGGTGAGAGGGCCAATTCCTAGGGATAGAAAGAAATATTTAACAGAAACGAAAAACAACGGCCGATGACAGCAAATGTCACTTTATAGTTTGATGATGTTTCGCTGATTGCAGTGAAGTGCGGTGACGACAATGCAAAATAATTTTCTCTTAAAATGGTACTTAAGTAGCTATTCAGATCGCGCTTTACGGTTGATGAACACACGTAATAGTTGACAGATTATACCGTAGCTATTCGCGCGGTCACAATAATGCGAGAAAAAAAAACAATTTGCACGATACATTGCCCTGAATTGCAGGCATAAAAAATCCAAGAATGCTAAATTATTCATATACATATTGTAATATAATTATGCATCTACAATTTACAATTCAATTTATTACTCACTTGTGATGCAAAAGCTTGCTATTAATATCAATTTATCGACACAAGATTGAAAGGTGATATTTATAGTTAGTCAGTTATTAATAAATTGTAAATTGTAATGAGAAACGTGATAAGAATTGGATTTGCTGGCGGTCGATCTTGAATAAAAATTTATCCGCGACAGCTGTTAATCTTCGCGTCGTGTCGGTTGCGTGAATAGTTTTCGGTAGGGAAAACAAAGACAGACGACGTGACGATGGTGATAGAGTACGTGTCTTCTACCTTTATCAACACCCGAGATTATTCGCGCGCGATGATGTTGCCGGCGGCGATGGCGTAAAATGGAACCGTTCACGACGTGCCGCGACACAAAGAGACATCAATTAATGGGACAATCGGCCATTTTTCCAATCAGGCACCGGACCAGCGCCGAGACAAGTGTCTAGTCTCTAAATGCATAGTATGTGGATCAGTTCAACGAGAGTGATCTTATTTATTGCAAACGCGAGATGCTCTGCATGCAATGCAGCACCATGTTTGGCGGCGTTTAATACACAGAGCTCTCATTTTCCGCGATTGTGGATAAAAAACACGCGATGCGCAAGTTATTTATTTCTGAGAAAAACTTGATAAGTATGATTAATCGGGAACAACACATTCGCCGAGTCCGGCGTTTTGCTAAGAATACATATTTAAGAATTCAAGAATTTAATTGTAAACGAATAATCTGGAGCTGACGGAAGATGTTTATTTCGACGCTAATTGAACGCCGCTAGCGCGGCTTGAACGTATGAACAATCGGTCAATATTATTTCGTTCTTGTGAATACCATTTTTAATTTATGTATTTATGTTTACGTGTGATTATAACAGCTTTTAATGTGATGACTAACGATTGGTCTACATAGATTTTCGGGGACCGTTTTGCCGTAATCGTTTTCAACGGCTACGTTAAGCTAAAGGAAATTTCGGAAGTAATCGTTCTCGCGCGCGTATCTGAATTGTATTGCAATTATATATATCCGTATAATGAAGATTCCGAACAAGTTCATTTTTCCCTCTTTGTCTCACGCTAGAATATTTATCGGGTGGACCGATGATAAAAAAGCCAAAGAAGACGAGACTATTTATATATAGACTGCGATATATATAAAATTAAAACGAACGAACCGATTTATGGATGACAGTATCTTGCTTCTTATACATGATTAAGAATTATTTGTTTATCTTTATTAATTAAGTCAATTAATTAAGTCAATCAACCAATTTATATATACTTTTTTTTGGAATAATAAATAATCTATTCAGAACTAAAAGTGGACGAGAGAAAAATAAAAAGTTAAAATGATAAAGCTGTTTATTATAACTTTATAATATATTTGTACATAAATTACATTAACCTTTGCAGGTCACACTATTTTTGCATACGTGTAAGCTACACTGGGGTCTAGAGGAATCCAGTCATTTTTTGCTCAGTTTCAGAAAAATCAACGTATTGTAATGTTTTTTTTTTTCAATCAATCATAAATTTTTTGAGAAATATTTTGAGAATTATGATGGTAATCTCAAAATTTATTTTAAAAAAATTATTACCCAAAAATACGCACTAGAAAATATAAATAATAGTCCCTGAGATTGTGGTGTGGCTTTCGAGGGTTAATTATTAAATTATTTTCCTGTCTTTAAGTCAAATATTTTCTTAATCTTGTGTGAATAATCGGATGACTTTGTAACTGACTGTTTTTCAAAACTGTTTCTTTTATTAAATTTATGATTCGACGATAATATGGACAAGATGCCCACGTATCGTGCCGCTGAGATAAGCAAGATTAGATTGTTAAAATGTCAATATTCCTTATACAAATCCGCACAAATCCGTTTTGAGTTCGACTTATCAAAAGACAGTAGTTAAAGCAGATCCTCAAACTGATCTAAATTTGATCCATAATTTGAAGCATACGTAAACATGTTGTCGCGAATTAATTTTAATAATCATCGTCCACTCACTTTTCGAAGAATCTGATCAAAAATTGTCGGCCATAGGAAGCAGAGGGAGTTGCCGAGGGCCACCAGAAAGAGCCCTAAAATTCCAAAGCTAAGCGACTTGCTCATCCACGGCCTCATAGTGACGCTTGTATCTCCGCGTGCACCGATCCTCCTCTCTTCAGCATGTGCACTCTGAACTCGAGCGTACGGCCTTTTCGTTAATCCCTTCTCTCACTCCTTCGTGTCTCTAGTCAGTCTTTCGCGCTTTAGAGTCTGCAAGATAAAACGTATCTAATCTACACCAGTCAACGACGAGTTTACGTCGTAGCCGCGCGCATATATGTAAGTGTGCGCGTATGTACGGTGCGCCTTGTTGCGTGTACGTAGTGCGTTTCTTTCAGCCAATAGAGTTTTCGAGTCGACTAGGAATGCGTAGGCGTCGTCGACACGAATAGACACGTTCAGGTTCACATGTGTGTCGACTAGCATGCCAGATAGGCAGATAGGCTTGTGAGCGTCCCAACACAGACTTTGAAAGAACGGAGCAAGAAGACAAAATATAACGCCGAATGAAACGACCGTTGTCCAACGCAGCTTCAGACGAAAAAAGTGTACTATAGATTCGAGATTTATAATTACTTTTTCGCAATAAATTATTT